AAATCCACAAGCAAATCACGACGATCTTGACGGATCTTGAACGTTCTTCTCCTTTCTCCTCTTTTCTCCTCTTCTTTTCTCTTCTCTCAAAACCCTAACTCTTTTTCCAAAAGCGTAAACTGACTAAGTTCAGTTTAGACCCCTAAGTAATTACCAAAAACGAATTAAAATAAAAGGGTAAGGAAAAGACCAAACTACCCTTCAAAAATCTTGATTTGGACTTTCCTTAATCCAACAATCCAACTTTCAAAGGGCATAACTTACTCATACGAACTCAGAATCGCGCAAACTCGGCGACGTTGGAAAGATCATTCCAAGTGCTTTACAACCATATCTGGAACTACACCTAACTCATTCTGAGCTAGAAGTTATGGTCGTTTGAAGTTGACCACAAATTCACTTTTCCTAACTTAACTAAATTTCCTGATTTTAATTCTTTAAAAAAAAAAGACTATTTCCAATTATAAGCTTCTTCCTAGCTAGTTCAAATTGCGAGATGTTACATTGGTGGCCATTGGACAAGCTATTATATATAGAGATCTCTTCTATATATATGACTAATATTTTACTCCTTAAAGATGAAAGTTAAGATGTTTTTACTACTCCCCCCCCAATGGTATATTTCTAAGTCTAAAAGTGCAAACATGAGTTATTTTTAAAAAAAATATGCTAACATGAATTTCTTATTCCTTAGCACAAAGTGCTTAAATACCATTATGCTCCCTTAAATGATTATTATTTTTTTTTTTAAAAAAACATTGGGGGCTGGGAAAAGGCAAATGGGAGAGGGAATTACATTATGGAGAATCGAATTCTCACCAACAAGGTGGGAGTACAAATTGTCAACTAATAAGCTACATAGATTCCCCTAAACATTTGTGTCTGCCCTGAATGAGCCCTAAATGGTATGAGTTTCATTATGATACTTCTTTTGCATATATAAATTTTCCTTTATCAAGATTTAACATGTTGGGCCCGTGCTTAGCACTGACTTCCCATTCTAGTATATATATATATATTATATCCCGTTTATTTGAGATACATCATGTTAGTCTACTATAAAATTGATACATCACACATTTTTAGTTAAAATTGGTAAAAGAAAGAGATATTCTTATAAATATTATTTTCAATTAAATCGATTTAGAGAATGGAATAAAAGAGAAGATAAACTAAATGAGAGATACACATATGGAATGAAATAGAGAGATATATACAAATGGAATGAAAGAGGATAAAATGGAGATGTCTATGATAATTTTTATTTGAATATTGTATTTTCGGGTTGAATACTGTAGTTTTAAATTATATAATCTACTTCATTGAATATTTTACTTTTGAATTGTATATTGTATTCTTTAATTTAATATTATAGTTTCAAAATAAACATTACATTTTAAATTAAATATTATAATTTTAAATATGGAAGATGGATATTTAAGGAAAATAATATAGTGTTACTTTTTGTTGGATACTACTAATTTGGATAGATTATAAAAATTTCTCTCTTTGGTAGTATATTTATATTTTTTCCATAAACAGATAGAATTGGCCTATAAATAAGGCCACCAAACATACAAATCCTATCAATACATTAAAAAAAAGAACAAATTGTAACATTCAAATCAAAGCTCTAAAGATGGTGAATCGCCAACGAAAAAAGAAATTAAAATTTCCCAATCAAAATCCTAAAGGTATATGTTTATTTCTGTTGTGTGTGTTTTAATTTTCTTTAATAATAATCGTGTTCGAGCTAATTTTTTTTTAATTTTAAATGCATGACAAATAGTTTTGGAGCCTTCAAAGAAAGCAAATCCAACGGATATTCTAGATCAGGTGAGTTCACAGTACATCAATTGAGTTCATTTATTGGAATTTGTTATTAATTTGACTTAGATTCTATGTGCGTTTTGTTGCTATTACAAACAGATTTTTCTTCCCAATTTAATTTATTTCAATTGTCAAAAATCTTTTAAACTTTGGTTGTGTTTGGTAGGAAAGAAAATGTTTAATTTGCTTGAAAAACACTAATCCTCATCTATAAAAGATGTCACATCTGTTTTTTCATTCCCTGCTTTATATGTATGTGTAGATGCTTTTTGGTTTAACATTATTTACATACCTACTAAACAAAGAAAAGAAGTAAGAAATTTTTCTAAATTTTATTACTCCGTATGTTTGTTAATAGTTAATAGGAAAAAAAAATTAGGTTCATCTTTTTTATATCTTTGATTGAAATGGTATTAATATTTGAAAATTTTAAGAGTAAGCCAAGTGTCTTAACAACATTTTTTTGTCCTATTTAGGCCATGAAAGTTTACTTGGAAGAGGGCATACTTAGTGACATCATCAGCAGGTTACCTATAAAGTCTGTTCTTCGATTTAAATGTGTTTCAAAATTTTGGAAAATATTAATTGATGAACCGTACTTTAAGATGAGACATCTCAACCATGCAAAGAATGATCAGAATTCTCAAAGTTTTCTATTTTACCAACAATGCCTTGGGGAATTTAACTATCCCATATACTCTTGTTCTTTATTGCCAGCTCAGTTGGTTGAGGATACACATATACTAAATTTTCCTCTAAACATTGAACCAAAGTTTTTTACTATCTATAATGGTTGTGATGGCTTGTTTATTATTTATGTTTTTGAAACTACTATTGAGCACAACAAACTTTTGTTATGGAATCCCTCAACGAGAGAATCAATGGTACTTCCCATTCCAGAATTTTCAGTGGGATTATCTTCATGTTTGGGATTGAGTCTTGATTCAAGTGGTGACTATAAGATTCTAAAAATCGAGGGGAATGAATTTGGTGGTCACAAAGTGTCTGGTGAAATTTTCACACTGAAAAATAATTCTTGGCGAAAAATTGGTGAACATTCTCGTGTCACTGGCAATAAGGTGTCAGCTATGGATTCTTTGGCATTTATACGTGGGGCATTTCATTGGATTGGTTTTTATTCAAAAACTTACTTTGTGGTTTCATTTAATATTTCTCATGAAGTGTATGGAGAGATATCATTGCCAGAGGAAATATGCTTGTTGAACACACGTAAGATTGACATTTCTATATTGGAAGGAATGCTTTGTGCTTATTCTAATACGTATGATCAGGGTATCCGTACTTTTAAGGTATGGGTAATGAGAGATTATAATCTCAAGGAATCTTGGAATGCAATATTATCTATAGAAGATCGTTATCTTCTTAAAGCCATGCCAAAATATAGGTTTGCAAATGGTGAAATATTATTCTGGTGTGCACATTTACGAGGTATGGACAATAACTTTAGGACACAAAGAGGACCCTTTACATTATTGCCTAGAGGTAAATTTCAGAATGGGTTCACTTACACAGAAAGCTTGATCTCTCCAAGATTACTTATTTAGTATTTATTCATGTATGATCGAGACACTTTTCATTTTTCCATTATCATGTTACATTTTCTTATTTTTATTAGTTTATTTATCAATCACAAACTTTTTAGTTTCAAAATTTGTTTATCAAAATTTTGCTTATTTTATGTTCTCTGAGAAACAACACGAGTCATTTCTTTGTTTCTGAGAAATAATTAGTGATTACCGCCACCCCACCCTCCTATCTTTTTACCTGCTATTGTTTGTGTAGTCTTTTATACTTATTCATGTAGTGAGTAATATATTGTTTATTACTTAATTAGTTGTAGATTAGTGGAATAATTCCTAGTTGATTGACAATTAAATCTTGAATCATTTTGGTAAAAGTGAAATATTCAAGATTAAATTTGAGATTATATTATATATAATGTATTTGACTGACCGTATAAATTTAATCTCAAAAAAGAGAATGAAACACTTTTTATGTTATCCTTATTGGAAATGTTATAGAAAAATATTTTATCTTGAAAATTATAGAAATTTTTTGAAAGCTTAAAACATATCTACGATATTGTCCTTAATGAGATATTCCCTCAAAATTCAATAAGTTTTTCTAAATATTAAATTAGGAGCATGCAAATTAAGAAAGACTTTTAAGAACAAAACTCAACACTAATAGAATATGAGAGAAACAAATTTATTTTCTACAAACCAAAGTGGGCTCATGAAGGGAAAACTAAATCTATAGTCCAATAAAATGGTGTTATCACTTGCTACAACAAATAAATATACAATGTATAAGTATTTTTTATATCGATAATGTATATAACTTAAATTTCATTAAAAATATGCATGCATGACCACATAGAATATATGTTCTTCCAACTTGGCCTTTATATGTGGAACAAAATAGTAGTAGTAGGATCTTTTTTTTTTCAAAGCTTCTAAATAAAGCGCACAAATCTTGACTCATTTTGGTAAGTGTGGAATTAATATTCAATATTATATTATATATAATCTATTTTGACTGACCGTATAAATTTAATCTCAAAAAAGAGAATGAAACACTTTTTATGCCATCCTTATTGGAAATGTTATAGAAAAATATTTGATCCTCGAAAATTATAGAAATTTTTTGAAAGCTCAAAACATATCTACGATATTATCCTTAATGAGATATTCCCTCATATTCAATAAGTTTTTCTAAATATTAAATTAGGAGCACACAAATCCAGAAAGACTTTTAAGAACAAAACTCAACACTAATAGAATATGAGAGAGAAATTCCACTTCTACAAACCAAAGTGGGCTCATGAATGGAAAAATAAATCTATAGTCCAAAAAACGGTGTTATCACCTGCTACAACAAATAGATATAAAACATACAAGTATTTTTTATATTAATAATGTATATAACTTAAATTTCATGAAAAACGTGCATGCATAACCACATAGAATATATGTTCTTCCAACTTGGCCTTTATATGTGGAACAAAATAGTAGTAGTAGGATCTTTTTTTTTAAAGAATCTAAATAACGATCACAAATCTTTTGAAAGGTTCTTTTCTTTATTCATTTATTTATAACTATAAATAGACTCACCACGCCCACCCCTATTTTCAAGCAACCTAACCTATCTATCTTTGAGCTTGTGAAATAAAAATCCTTTTATTTCTCTAGCTCTTTTTTTGGCTAGTTGCTTCATCTAATTTTTGTCAAAAAAAATATGGACAAGGTACAAAGAATGACTAGAGAACATGGAGTGTTGATTTTTAGCAAGAGTACATGTTGTTTGAGTTATGCAGTGAGTATATTATTTCAAGATCTTGGTGTAATTCCATATGTTTGTGAAATTGATCATGAGTCTGATGGAAAAGAAATGGAAAAGGCCCTAATAAGGATGGGTGTCAATAGTTCATTCATGTTTCCTGCTGTTTTTATTGGGGGGCTATTGGTTGGTTCTACTAATGAAGTCATGTCACTTCATCTCCAAGGCTCACTTATTAAACGTATCAAGCCTTACATATCTGTTTTAAAAAGTAATTAAGACCCCCCACTCGGGAGCTACTTGAATAGCAGGTAGCACATGTCCTGGTTCTGGTTCTAGCTGATCCTTCCCATGGTTCCAAGAGGACACCCCCACCTCACCCCTATTTCAAGAAAAGTTTGACATTAATATTAATTAGTACTAGTAGTACTACTAGGAACAATAAATAAATTGTTGAGTTGAAGAAGTTGTAGTATGAAAATGTTATGTAATTGTTGTGAAGATGTGTGTGCTCTAGTTCAACTTATTAAAGAATGTATTCTCATTTGTATCTCAATTAATGGAAGTTAGCATTATTACTTAAGTTAATTTGTTCTTTCTCCCGTTCTGTTGTGGATCAACAACATGTTTGGAGAATTCATCACTTTACAAATGGGGAAAACATGAAACAAAATATCGAGAGAACTGATTATGAAGGTGTTGGGTCTTCAAAGGTGTGAATGGAAAATGAAGAGTTGTGACTTTTATGAAAAGTTGTGACTTTTATGAAAGGTTGTGACCTTTCCGAAAGATTGTGACTTTTACAAAGGGTTGTGACCTTTCCGAAAGATTGTGACTTTTACAAAGGGTTGTGACCTTTCCGGTAAGGCAATAAGAACCTTTTCACACTACCCTTTGTTTTCTAGAAATTGAGGGGTTTCCTCTCATTTAAAGAGAATCAATTTTCTAGACTTCTTCTTCAACTACTACTACTACTATTAAGTGTACTTTACTGCCGTTGAGTGGTTCGCTGACACCATGGTTTTAAGTACCAATACACCGGTGAGTAAGATCATTCTATCTTGGGAGGATATATTCCATTAACCTCAGGTACTTGAGGGGAATAATTTTCTTAAGGGGACACTGTGCATTCAGTGGGATCAATTTTCTTCTTTAAGAAAAATATTCTGTATATTGTTTCTAATCTATTCCTGAGTTTATTTTCTCCACTGGTTTTAATTTTCTAGTTTTGAAAATACTCTTTAAACTTTGTTATTTCTTATCAAGCTCTTCAAAGTATCTTAGGAATACAGGATGAAAAACAATCTTAAGGAAATTCTTATACTGTTGGTATTTCTAGTGATTGAGAGAAACAGATCATGGAAGTAGAAGATTAATGCACTATTTCAGAATTCGGTGCCTTGTTTAGCAAGATCGAATTGAGAATGTAGTAGAAAAATTGGTGGTAGTTCGGTTAAAGATTACAGGTAAACTTCTTATTATTTATCTAAGGAGGAAAATAGTTTCTAAAAGTTAATTCTTTTGATATTTTTCATGTGTATCTTTGGAAAAAGATTTGCAAATCATATGTTTTGGAATAAATTTTACTTGGCAAATAGTGTTGCCTTTAAAATTCTTTAGTTTGCAGAATGAGAGATGCACATTTTTGTTTGATAAAATAGTATGTCAAAATGTTATAGTTGGAAGACTATTTGAAAACAAAAGCATTTCTATGTGACAATCTAAGAATATGCTTTATTCTGTTTGGAGAAAAAAACACTTTTGTAGTTTTGTACTCCGAGTGAAATTTGATTGTGTTTGATTGTTGTAGATTAAAAACTTTTATAGTTTTCTACTCTAGATAAATTGGACTATCCAATTGGTTTGAAAAATATCAAAACTTCACCTAATAAGTCTGTGTTGTACTTTTGATTTTCTACAAACTTCATTGTTAAGTAGAAACAAATTGTACATAATTTATTGTACAAATTTTTTTGTCTTCATTGTTAGTATTCTAAATACTAAGTGGTAAGTCTAACTGTGATAGAAAAGAAAAAGATCGGTGACTTAAAGTGTGTGATTTTGTGCCTGCAATAGGTGCCTCTATGGAATGAACTTTGACAATATTTAAAAATTGTCAAAGAGAATTGAAGCACTGTAATTCTTTCGTAGAATAATATTTCCAAAAGAGGTTTCATGCTGCCAATGACATTTTGATAGTATGAAAAAATATGTGGAAAAATTATTTTCAACTATTTGAAAAATATTTTTGAGATCATATTTAAAATGTGGGGAGTTCTTTGCTTATTACAAAGATAAAATAAGACTTAGTGTCTGATTTAAATTTGGAGCACAAGATATGAAATTCGATGATACTTTTGTATTATGTTAGACCCAAAAAATTCTTGGAGTATATTTGATAATGTGGCTGTTGAGTTTCTCTTTTACTAATATATGTGACTAGTATGAAATTATCAAATTATATGTATACTTGTTCAAAATGATTGTGTTCTTTTATGAAAAAGTGTCACTTAAAATGTTGTGATTTTTCATGAAAAGATATGTCTATTAAATATAGCTATTTATATAGACATGAATATTGGTGAATAGTCATTTGTCATGTTTTGTAAAAGAAGCATTTGAACTATATTGCATTTATTGGACCCGATGAAACTTTGTTCATGGAAAGGACATTATACAAGGTAATGACTTTAAACAATGTTTGTATCACACAAAATTGTAAGAAATAGGAACAAATATTTGTGAGAAAAAGCTACCTCGCGGAGAGTTTTTCAAACTCAATATTTTTATTTGTTCTTACTTACTTGAGTCAAACTGTTTGTGACATAAACACTTAGGACATGTCAATTACAAAACTTTGTAAGGAAAACTGATCAACTTAGAAGTTTTGTCTAACTTTGAGTGCAATAAATAAAAATGTCAAGTTTGTGTGAATCTAAGTATGTTGAGCATTCTTATAAATCTGTTGAAAGGAATTCTAATCCCTTAGAGTTGATTTACTCTGACATTTGTGATATGAAGTCAACACCATCTTGTGGCAGAAAAAGATTATCTCATAACTTCCATTGACAATTGCATTAGAAACGACTATGTCTATTTACTGAATGGTAAGGATGAAGCAATAGAAACGTCTAGACAATATAATATTTAAGTTGAAAATCAGTTGGGAAAAAGATAAGAAGTGATAAGGATGGAGAGTATAAATCTACTTTTGCAGAAATATGTTTGAAAAGTGGAATTGTCCATTGAACTGTTGCCCTATTCACCTCAATCTAATGAAAAATCGAACATTGAAAGAAATGATAGATGCATTATTTATAAGTTCAGATTTACCACAAAACTTGTGTGAGGGAACTATCATTACTGCAAAAGGGAACAACAAAAAGTTTTGTCTTTTCAGAAAGAAAACAATTTTGTTTGTTCAGGACACAATCTATTCCATAAGAGAAATGAAAAGGAAGGAAATCCAACTTGAAGTATTTCAAAGTGTGGGGGTGTCTAGCCGAAGTCCAAGTCCCAGTCTTAAAAGGAATAAAATAAGACCTAAGAACTATGGACTGTAAAATTAGACTTGAGTAGTCTAGTTAAAGGTCTAAAAGGCCTTGGAATGAACAAAAGGAGAATGTATTTAATCAAGAGATTCATGCACATAGTAAATGTCAAAGGACATCTACTACATTCAGATCTGATTTCGTAACATTTCATATGTCTTATGTGGATTCATCTTTTTGGAAAGATGGTGTCAATAGTAAGATTGATTAATTCTTGAGCAATCCTATTGGAAGTTGGTTGATCTTTCTCCAGGAAATAAACCTTTGGGTTCAAAGTGAATCTTCATAAAGAAAATGAAAGTTGATAGAACTGTTGATAAATATAAAGCAAGACTTTTTGTCAAAGGCTTTCGACAAAAACAAGGTTTTGATCTTGTTGACACATACTTGTCAGTAACTAGAATTACATTCATTCGGATGTTAATATTATTAGTTGCGGTATATGACATCCAAATTCATCAAATGAATATGAAAACAACTTTCTTAAATGGAGAATTGGAGGAATAAATTTACATGGAGGGCTCGAGGGTTTTGTGGTTCCTGGTAAAGAAAAGAAAGTGTGTGAACTTGTTAAGTCACTTTATGGACTAAAACAAGCACCCAAACAATGACATAAGAAATTTGACCAAACCATGTTGGCAAATGGATTTAAGAATGATGGAAGTGATAAATATGTTTACATTAAAATCACAAGGTCATTCTTTGTTTGTATATTGATGACATGTTGATCATCAATAGAGACACCAATGACATAAATGCTACTAAACAAATGCTAGAAAGCAAGTTTGATATGAAAGATCTTGGAGTTGCTGATACGATCTTAGGTATAATAATCCTTAGAACTCCATAATGTTTAGCATTGTCAGGTCTCATTGCATTGAAAAGGTACTTGACTAGTTCAAATATTTTGATTTCAATATTGGCATGACTCCAATAAATGTGAGCTTTGCATTTCAAAAGAGTGAAGGCAAAAGTTACTCATAATTGAATTGTGCTAGAGTATTGGGAAGTGTGATGTATATCACAAAGTGTGCGCAATCAGATATAGCATGTGCTATTAATGAACTGAGTCACTTCACGAGTGATCCCAATCAAACTCATTGGATGACAATGAAAAGAGTTTTGGGGTATTTAAAACATACTCAAAACTATGTCTTGCATTATAACAATATCCAGTAATATTGAAAGGATATAGTGATGCAAATTGGATCACCGGGATCAAATGAAGTAAATCCATGAGTGGATATGTATTTACTCTTGGTGGAGGAGCAGTCTCTTCGAAATCTTCCAAAAAGACATTTATTGCTAGGTCTACAATGATCTCTGAGCTAGGTGTTTTAGATAAGGTCAGTGAATAAGTTGAAAAACTCAGAAATTTTTTGATAGATATTTTTTTTGGCCCAAACCTTTGGCATCAGCATGCATACACTTTGATAGTCAAGATGCAATAGGTAGGGTATGGAGCAATGTATAACAGAAAGTCTCACTACAAGCAATGTATAACTTTTGTACTTTTGGCAACAATACAAAAGTTGTTGCATGTTGTTGCAATAACGCTGATGCGAAAAGTTTTTGCAACAACAAAATATATTGTTGCCAAGAATGACTTATCACAACCAAAAAGCTTGTTGCCTTACATTCTAATGGTTGTGGCTTTTTAAATTTTCGCAACAAAATTCGTTGTTGCCACAAATTGAACTTTTTACCAACAATTTTAATTGTTGCAAAAATTAGCAAATGGTTAGTTGTTATTCTGTTAG